CACCACCAGCACCACCAGTATCACCAGCACCAGCACCAGCACCAGTACCCACACCAGCACCATCATCATCACCATCACCATCCCATCACCAGCACCACCAGCACCACCAGCACCACCAGCACCCGGCCCACCTCCCGCCTCGGTGCACCACCAACACCACCAGCACCACCAGCACCCGCCGCCCGCCTCGGTGTGTCAGCGCAGCACAGCGTGTCCTCTGGTTCTCAATAAAACGTCTGATAAACGACTGCCCTGCACCGTGTGGTGCGCTCACATAACAGGCTTCATACCTGGGCTGAAATAGCCTACAAAACAGATGAGCTTTAGGGAGCCAGCCCACGTGCGGGCGCAGGTACAGTGTGATTGAAACTTCGTGGCCCATGCGCAGAAGTCGGTATTTTGTGGAGGAGCCGGTATTTTGTGGAAAAGCCACACTCAAGGGGCCAAAGAGCCGCATGTGGCTCGTGAGCCACGGTTTGCCGACCACGGGCCTAGGACACCACAGACTTGAGGGCTGCGGCTCAGCTTAAACTTTCCATCCCTCTTTAAAATATGTAAATTTTAAATGACCTGGAAGGAAATACACCGGGTGGCAGCGGCCACCCCTTATAGAAGCTCATACCGTTTATGACTAAACACATAAAACCTCATGCCTCGCTGGAAGTGTCTGTAGGACTCGGGAGAACAAACACCCGATGCCCAATAAATGCCGCCCACCCCGCCGGTGCCGACAGTGCCCCCTGGTGGCTTCCTGCTGGGCCGTGCTGTCACCTCCACAACAGGCCCCAGCCCTGCCTTTCTCCCGTCTATGGTCCCTTCAGCCTCACTGGCCACCCCAGTCTTCCTCCCGTCTGCTCAGCCACAGCTTTCTCCCGCCTGTCCCCTAACGACTGTCCCCTAACGATAAACAGGGCTGGTCTGTCACCTAGAGCCGCCGGCCACCTTCAGCCTGCGGCCACCCACCAGCCCATGCCTGTTTCTGTGCAGCCACCGGGCTAATGGGCTTTACAGCTGTAAACGGGGGTGGAAACAAGAACAGACGCCATCTCACAGACGCGCTGCCGAGAGGGTGTGGGGCTGGAGGGCTCAGGGTCACGGGCGCCCAGCGGGCCGGCTCGGGCCTCACCCATCACACGCACCACTTTGTTCTTGGCCCTTTCCTTGTCCAGTTTCAGGAATTCTCCGAGGGTCAGCTCCTCGAACTGCTTCCGGACAGAAAGGAAGGCACAGCCCGACGAATGCTTCTTGTGTTCCTCCCTAGGGAGCGACACAGGGGCGGGTCACTGAGGCGGCGGAGGCAGAGGCCGCAGCTCGTCGCCACAGCCTCCCACCTCCTCTGCAGACGCCCTGCTCGCTGGAGAGCAGTGACGTCCCAAGTAGACGGAACCAGGACTAGGTCCCCGGCCACCTCCCCGGCCACGCGGCTCAGCGCAGCGCCTTCCCTCTGTGGACGCCCCCCCTCCCCTCCCCTCCTCCCCCTCCCCCGATGGGGTTACCCGGAGCCCTGAGCAGTGAGTAGGAAGTGCTACGTGAGTCCAGAGCTGTCACTCGTCAGATCCCCTAAAACCCTCACGGTGTTTTCTGTTTTGTTGATCCTCACCCGAGACTGCAACGGAGGGATGTGCCTCTGACCGGAATGGAGCCTGTGGCCCTGCCATCTGGGCTGGTGCCCTCTAGCCACTGAGCCAAACGGGCCCGGGGCCGCTAGGGATGCTGTGAAGCAGCCTCATGCCCCGGGAATTGTCACATAGTCACTGGTTTGGAATAAGGCCCGCGGGCCAGGCCTCTCCAGGGAGCGCTGGGCCGTGCACCCTCACGTCTGCGTGGGGAACAGGTGGGCGGAGCGCCCAGCACCGAGCCAGAGCCCTGCGACCGGATACACGGCCACAGGAAGTCCAGAGGGTCAGCCCGCAGTGACGCGGACATGAAACATCACCGTGCGTAGGAGACCCACGCCCCAGAGCACGCTGGCATTTCCCAGGGCTCCTGTGTGCCCGCCACGCCCTCCCGTCAACACTGGGTGGGGGCCGCAAACACAGTCCCTGGCCAACAAGAGAAACAACCGGCTTGTTCTCCACGGTAAAGGAACGTGGTGGAAACAGGTGACTGCGGGGAAGGGGAACGCGTGCACTGCCGGCAGAAGACACTGCGGGCCCTGAATGCAGACACAGGGTCCCTTCCCCACAGAGCGAACCCCAGCGGGGCCCGGAGCCCCCCTGGAAGGCTGGTGGGTGGTGTGTGAACTGTAGCACAGTAAGGCTTGAGGTTTAAAACTGAGACAAGCCCTCGCTGATTTGGCTCAGTGGTCAGAGCGTGGGCCTGTGGATTGAAGGGCTCTGGGTTCGATTCCAGTCAAGGGCATGCCTGGGTTGCAGGCTTGATTCTCTCTCATCATTGAAGCGACGCTTCCAGAATTCTCCCCAGCAAAAATATCCTTAGAAAATGAGAGTGAGATAAAGACATGTTCAGAAAAAACGAAAGTTAAAGAGAATTCATTACCAGCCATAAGAAATGCTAAAAGGGCCAAAACCGGTTTGGCTCAGTGGATAGAGCATCGACCTGCGGACTGAAGAGTCCCAGGTTCCATTCCGGTCAAGGGCACATCCCCCGCAGGGGGCGCGCAGGAGGCAGCTGATCCATGTTTCTCTCTCACGGATGTTTCTAACTCTCTATCCCTCTCCCTTCCTCTCTGTAAAAAAAAAAAAAATCAATAAAATATATTTTTTTAAAAAACCTCTGAAACCAGAAAGGCACCTGGGCACCCTGGCACAACAGGGGCTGCTCCCGGTTCTGTCCAACCTCCAAGGCCTCGGGACCGACGGGAAGGGGCCTCTTCAAGACGCACCGAGGGGCGCTGGCCCCAGGAGGCTGCGAGGCGGGGGCGGCGGGAGGCGCAGGCGCACAGAGGTTGGACTCACAGAGGTTCGTCCACTTGCAGCAGCTGCTTGGGCGCAGGATGAGGCCGGAACCGCTCCCGCCCCAAGCGTCCTTCCTGGAAACGCGGTTTCTCGGCTCCGCGCAGAGCGGAGGGGCCCGGCCGGCACTCACAGGGGGTCGTCGTCCGGCTCCCAGCCTTCCAGCTCCTTGAAGCAGAAGAAGCACTGAGCCAGGTCGGGCTCGTTCTCGGTGGGGCAGTGGATGAAGCCGGCCGCGGCCATCTGCAAGGGAAGGCAGGCTCGGACCCGCGGCGCGTG